AGTTAGACTGAATTCAAAGCTACACGACACAAACAATTTCAGATTTGTATTAAAACTTACCTTCTATTTTACATAGATGTTTAAGGCCTCCAGGCAAGGCAAGTATCACTAATAAACTTGGCATTGGTATTGGATAAATACTACTAGGATCAGCACTTTGTTTCTATCCTCTAAGTTCATTTAACCCACTATATTGTGTTAAATCAAACATTTTTGAGGAAATTAAACCCCCACCCATTTAGCTCCATATACCAATGGCATTCCATCAGGGCAAGCAAGGCAATCAGTGCTTACCCTGTCAAATCCAAAAATAGACATAGCTGTCATAAAGCTCCTAGCTGATTACCTTTCTGCCATCTTGTGGCTGCAGTGAGTTATTGTTGCTGAAAGCTCCACTTGTTTTGTGCTCATAGGAAACTTAAGTTGTCTCCATTTTACCCGCATGTCCATTTCCCGTTACCAGTGACTTGAGCTGATCAAGCTGAAAAGCTAGACACTTTTTTCTGGTTTGCACATTGTGAATAAGCAACTGCTCTTTCATGGTAAACTGATGGGAGACCAGCTTGTTGCTGCTGTCTCTACTTTCACTGCTCTGAGACGACTTACAGTCTGCACTTTGTGTGTAAGCACAGCTAACATTAGCAGGCAAACAAGCTTCTCTTGCTAACCGCTATGTGTGGTTTAGAGAAGATGGAGTGTGAAAAAGTTATTAATAACTCGTTTAGTACATTAGCAAGAAAACTGTGATGATGATGGAATGATACATGGTCAGAGGGGATGGCAGCTCTGACCATGTATCACGACTAAAACAGGCAAGTTGAGCAGGTGCATGCTCAGCAGCACCTTCAGATTAGCATCTATGAGAATCTCTGAATGTTTGGCCAACGCTTCATTTTCACCTGTATCTTTTTTCCATTAATATTTTTAATCGTTGTGTAAATATCGATAGGTAACTAAGTCACACACTGCTCAAGTCTTTTAATTCAGATATTTTTTAATGTTAATAATATGTATACATATACTTTTATAAAATCAAGATATTGGCGTGTGTTTGTGATCTTATGAACGACTATTTAAACTTAGAGGAAAATACATACACATGCTTTCAGCTATTATGCCGAGAGTAATATTAACCAAATGCTAAAATGCTAGAAATTTCTAATCAGCACCAAAACCACAAATGCAGCTGATGTTTGGCATTACTGCTCATTGGAGATCTCATCAAAGACAAAACCCACAGTCCTTGTTCAGTGCAAAAATCTGGACAATAATCTGGTGCTACGTGGGGCTTCACTAGTCTGAGTTTGTCAAGTCACATGAGTATCTTACATAATTTCTCTAAAAACACACAGTAAGAAGATATTGCTTAATTTAGTGAATTCAGTGGGCTGAGGCTAACCTTGGATGAACTTCCCGACATTTTTGTAGGAATGCCAACAAAAGGGGACCAACATTTGGGACAAGTAGCAGACCAAGTGACCAATAAATGACAAGGATAGCTAGAAGATATTCACACAAACCTACCTCTACTTTTAATATAGAAAATAGTTTTTTAAACATCTCATAGGTGGAAGAATTTCAGAAAAGCCATCAAAGCAGTTATATTTTTACTACAAAGCCATAAGTGTCTCACATTGATGCTTTTTAAACAATGGCTTACATGTTAAAAGCAGGAGTAAGATTGTAAAGATCTGCTAACCATTGGCATGTTTATCAACGTTGTCATT